AGTTCAGTTTAACCATTTCACTTTCTCTCATAACTGTTCGTTCAATCAGCCATTTCTCGAATATATGAAATCGTAGTTTCTCCTTTTCTTTAATTAAACTCTCTTAACTCTTCTCGATCCTTTCGTTCTCATGATCAGCTCTGCGTATTGTCCAACCATTAATTAATTTCCTCCTCTGCAAGAAATAACTTATCAAATGACAATTCCTCCATTATTTAACCGTCTCAAGTTCAGGTTCAGAGTCCTGAAGACAATATGCTCTAATTCGTCTATAACATGGATGAGTTGCTTCGAGTTATCATTTTCAGCATTGTACTACGTCGTGCTATTGGCGACATTAAGTGTTGTTTCCAGTTACTGTAACGACAAGAAGGTCTAAAACTCCAAAAAGACGCTACGTTTGCATCGCATTTCTATGTTGCAACGATGTTTATCTTGTTCTTTTACATCTAGTGAATAGATTTCACATTCATTGTTCACTTCTAATACCCTTTCTGAGTATGAATATTGCTGAATAATATCTAATAAACCTTTTCTCTCATCCAATATAATTGATCTTTACTAGTGAATCATTCGTTTCATAATCTAATCAAATCATTGTTACTTTGACTTTAGTTTTCTCAAACTAAAACAGTTTGTGCTAACTCTGTTCATTTTACCATGTGCAAGGAGCAACTTGCGATTGATGAAACGCTCGAACACCATCAAAGATTCATTAATAAGAACAATTTAGAACAATTTCAAATAAAATTAGAAATCCTACTAGCTATTGCTAGTTGAGCGACACTGAGCATGGCTTTTAACTTAACAATTTTATGAAAATTGGCTCTGAGATTCATTTTGCTTTGAGATGAAAATTAAAAGAAGAAACTCAGAATCGGACAAGATCAAAAGTCTTCCCTCCTCTGCTCAATACTATTGATAAATTTAGCTTTACAATTGCGTCAGCGCCCAGGATGTTCACATGCTCAAAATTTGAGCCCACTTTAGAAACCCTAAATTCCACTCTGCTCTGAGATTCCTATAAATTTTTCAACAAATAAGTAAGAATGTGAAATGTACAAACCTGTACAGCAAAGCAGATTGTGGTATCTAATACATTCCCTGGTCCTACAAACATTTCAAGGGTCTTTACTGTAAGACATGAGAAAGGAGATCCTGTGTCCAGGAGACACCACACACGAATGGTTTTTGTATGACGTTTTCCAGCCATACGTAAGACTAGAGGGACTAAGAATCTATGAGTAGATCCATACACAACACCTTTCACGGGATATGGAGCTCCTGGCAATTCAGTCGGAACCAAATGTTCCAAACTATATTTTGTTCCTATCTATAATTACGTAAATTTAAAATTACTTCTGAGAATGAAAGTTACCGTTGCCAATTCCTCTTCATTTATATCCGATAGCAATACGTCAAATTCGTCATATGGTATTTCCAACTTTACAAAGTTTCCATCGTCACTTGTAGGCGACAACTTTCTCTTAAAATGACTTTTATAAACAAATATACTGTGAGTCTCACTTACCTCTATTTTTCTGTCGATTAAACACCTCACCCGGATACTTTTCTTATTTTTTCCCAGCCATTCGAAATACTAAAGATGTGATGTAGCGTCGCTTCGTTATCACTCGCCGGGCGACCTGAAAATCAAAATGATTATAAATATTCATCAGGAAAACATTAAAACTTAACTGCGGCAACCATTTCCTCTAGGTCACAAACAGCAATTATCTGTTTCTTCATCCTCTTACAAATTGTTCCCATGGTGGAGCCCTGTAACAACAGTCAATTAAAAAAAAAAACAAGACTTACATCATAAATTTCTGGTATCCGCGTTCTGGGTATGGGAAGATTGCGCACTGGAAAAAATTAATAAAATAATTTAAAACACAACGATTTTGTTTGAAATAAAAAATAAAAAAATACCATTCGGGAGATGCAGGAGATCATCTAACTCTAAAGAGTATTGATGCATGGCCAGCTTCAGGAATCTTATGGTTCCTGGACCACAGTGAAAACAACTGGAACATATAAATAGAACAACAAACCAAATAGAAATATACTCACGTTTGTCTACAATTTTCTTTCACCGTGCAAAATCTATTGAAGAGTTGATTAGCTTGTATCTAAACATATAGTAAACATACAAAATTTTTAAGATTAAAGGGGAACTTACGGTATGAAAATATGAAGGCATTTTTTAAAAATATATTATTTGATAATAGTTAGAGTTGTTCTTCGTGAGGAAATAAAATTTCTGAGCAAAATGGAAGAAACCCGCTCGAAATGACCTGGATCAGTAAAACAAAAAGTGGGAGAGAGAGAGAGAGAGAGAGAGAGAGAGAGAGAGAGAGAGAGAGAGAGAGAGTGAGAGAAAGAAAAAA